GGTTGTGTGAATGGTGACTTGCGAATCCCTCCACTCAAGGATAATGTTCGTTTGGGTTCAGGGCTTAGCTAGTTTGTTCATGGTTACAACAAGTGATGAAATGGCGTAAAGTATTTGACGGAAGACAAGACGAACAAAAAAAAACGACATTAGCGCTATTCTTTCTACTTGTGACGCTACTGCCGTATCTTCCCCGTTTTGTCTTCCGTAACATTTTGCGCCTTTTTTTTCTCGAAGAATTAGGACCATTTAGCATATTACTGGAAATACGACACGCCACGATTCCATCAGTAAACTGTATTTCATTTGGTTTATTCTTTTTTTATCCTGTAAAGCCTGAATAAATACTGTGATCTGCGTTTTGCACGTCATGTTTGCAATAGGAATCCATCACTCTGAAATTCGTGCATGGCTCCCAACTCCTTCGAATCGCTCGCGCGTGACAGCGCTGCCGCACCACTTCATGCATGGATCTTGATGGGCGACTGCACGGCAGAGCCAAGACAGCGTGGCCGCACGCGACTCTTTCGTTAGATGACGTCACCGGGCATGTACCGTCTTTGCATCGGTGTTCGCAGCTTCGGCCCCGTGGTGCTGCGTGCCGTGTGAGCCATGCACTCGCGTGTTCCTTCTAACGGTTGACCGACCTGTACAGAACAAATGAGCGACACCATCTGCCAGCTCTCCCCTTCTCTCAGAAAAGTAATCGGAGGTACTGCAATAAGCCCAGAGTGCTATGCGCAAATAGTAAACCTTTACAGACTGTTCGGTTATCGTGGGGGTGTGCGTCAGCGACATTCAGCTATACGTGTCTAATGCCAAAACTTACGCCAGCAAGTCGGAAATGCAGACTACATTATTTTACAGAAAGTACCGAACGTGTTTCACTTGGTGCTTTTAAGTATTTAATGCCTGAATTGTGAACTTGCCAAAGAAAATTTTCTGCTTTAAATAGCAACCTTCAAATTATTCCACAGTTATAATATTTAGGAAGCACCTTTGTTGCATACTTTTATGTGTGTCGCTAATCTCAGAATGCCATAGAAGAGTGTATTTTTTGCAATGAAAAACGTACTTGAGAACTACGCAACATTTTGTGAGCCTCGTCTTTAGCACGTACGCAGTAAATGAACAGAATGATTGAAGATTGAACTGGCCTCAGTGACAAGAAAGAACGAACATGTGGGTGAGTGCCCTTGCACGTCGGGCTCTCCACCATCAGATACAAAACAATTTGTTCTAACATAAAATACATTACACGAGATAGCGCTAAAGTTTTCATGCTGAAAGCCACGTCCTCCGTGAGCACCTGACAGCCGGCATTAAAGGCGGCAAGCATTCCGTGACTTGCTTGCTAGAAGTTTCCTGTTTTGTCGCGAATTCGCGACTATAGGCGGTTAAGGGTTAAAGTAAGTCAAAAGCATACCTTAGAATCGCGCTGAGAATGATTCGATTCCATCCTGATGAATAATGCCATGCTCTAATTTCACATTTTGTCGTCCTTCGGTATTGAAAACACTCGGACCTCCGGTATATTGGCCATAGCGGCTATGGGCCCACAGCACTGCCCCATTGGGAGAGCTTGCAGCACTACGCGAGCATTTAGAGAATGAAGCAAAGCATATCACCACACAGTAGTCCACAGACACAGAAAATACGGTCATGTTCGTGCAGTCACCAAAAGAAACACGGGTACGCAGTAGTTCTTCATGAAAGGGAACGCGTAGCCTGTGCTCTGCGGCGGCTGCCTACCGCACCATCAACCGACAAGTGAAGAAAGCACGTTCACTTTAGGCGTCACCTATGACCATGCAAGATAACGAGTCATGACCGGTAGACAAGCGCTGCTAGATTACGTTCTCTCACCGCTCACGCGGCGAGCGATATCGGGCGATTACCACAACACACCCCGTTTGATATGTTGGCAGTGGACTACGCACTGCAGGTGTCAGCCGAGATGAAGGGCAATCTAGCAGCGCTTGTCTACCAGCCATAACTCATTATTATTTTTTTTTTCAAACAGATGGCGTTGAAAGCGAACGTGTTTTCTTTTGCTGTTGGTGTATGGTGCTGTAGGCAGCCGCCGCAGAGCTCAGGCAGCGCATTCACGTGTTCCCTTTCATAAATGACGACAGTGTACACCAAGACAGGGTTCGCAGGCTTAGGAATCCTGCTCTCTCGACCGGCGGGAGCAAGCATGCGCTCGTCTACTCGGCCGCAGACGCGAGTCGAAACAGAGTGACGTCAGAGGCATTGCCCGAAGTAGTGAGCAGGCCTGAATTATTTTTCACAGTGGCAGTGGTCAGTTTTTTTCTCGCCTTGAAGAATGCTGTCTTCTTCTTGTTACATATTTTTTTCAGAAAACATGGACCCTGTCAGCACTAAGTGTTGAGCCAGTCAGAATTTCGCGCTTTTTGAGTGCATACTGCGGTCGCTGCTATCACCTTTTGCGCAGTCGCCAACGCAGAGAGTGAATTCAGTTTATCAAGCACCTAAGCCATGCAAAACAAGAGAGTCCGGGCAAGCGATTGCATGACAAAGGGTAGGTGACCTAGTTTGGTCCTGACGTGACGTGCACAGACAGCTGGCGCCATGAATCGTGCCGCAAATACGAAACGTCGGGAAAGATTTGCGCTCTCGTTCTTCGTAGTTTCAAAGGTTGTTTACAGGGGTCACTTTACTTTTAAAAGTAAAGGACAGTGGTGCACTTTACTTTTAAAAGCAAAGCATTTTTTGGCATGACTATCTATCTATCTATCTATCTATCTATCTATCTATCTATCTATCTATCTATCTATCTATCTATCTATCTATCTATCTATCTATCTATCTATCTATCTATCTATCTGTCTATCTATCTATCTATCTATCCGCCTACAAAATTTAGCTCTCCTGGCCGTTTCCATGATGGGATCTGTGCCAAAATTTTTATGGAATAACATGACAGTATGACAAGCATAAGTCATTAGTTATAACATAAAATTCATGACGTGTATGTAATGAATGTCATAATTTACATGTCATGGTAGCTGCTCTTGCGGTGGCTTCGTTCACATCATATATTGAAAAACTGGTATGACATGACACGACTGCATGGAGAACATTATTGGCAGGCCCTAACATCGAAATTATGACGCATGTCGTGTAATTTCATGTGAATCATCACTGCACCGTACGCTCATGGTACACTCGTGGTCGTTTCACTAGCTCCACATATACCAAATTTGGTATTACGTGACTTGAATAGATGACTAAAATGTATCACTGGTGCAAACACGATAATCATCACATGCGTGTCATGAAGGAACATACATGCTACGCTCGTGATGCGCTTGCGACCGTTTCACTAGATTAACATATACCAGATAAGGTATATCACGAACGGACGACGAGAGTGAATGACACGTCCCAGCATGATAATCAAGGCATGCGTGTCATGTAAAAACATGACTACATACCACGCTTCTGATGCGCTCGCGGCCGTTTCGCTAGCTTCAGATATACTAAATTTGTTATTACGTGACGTGAATGGACGGCGAAAGTGAATTGCCCGTTCAAACAGGCTAATCATGACGTGCGTGTAGTGTAAAGCATGACTACACGCTGCGCTCATAGCACGCTCGTGGCCCTTTCACTAGCTTCGCATATACCAAATTTGGTATTATGTGACGTTGTTGGATGACGAAGGTATATGGCTGGTGCAAACATGATAAACATGATATGCGCGTTATGTAAGAACATGACTACATTCCACGCTCATGATGCGCTCGAGGCCATCTCGCTAGCTTCATATATACCGAATTTTGTATTACGTCACGCGAACGGACGACGAAGGAAATGACACCTCCTAAAATGATAATATGGCATGCGTGTCATGTAAAACATCACTACATGCTACGCTCATAGTGCGCTCGCAACTGTTTCGCTAGCTTCACATATAGCGAATTCGGTGTTACGTGGCGTGAATGGATGACGAAGATATATGACTGATGCAAACATGATAATGATGACATGCGTATCACTTAAGAACATGACTACATATCACGCTCATGACTTTCTCGCGGCTGTTTCGCTAGCAGCGCATATAGTAAATTTGGTATTACTTGACGTGAATGGACGATGAGCACACACATGCTAGGCGCAAACATGATAATAACAAAATGAAAGTGATGTATGGTACAGATACATGTCTACCACTGCTGGAGCTGGTATTGCAATTGTTAGTAGCACCGTCGTTACGCGATTATGAAGAACACTTTTTCATCTTATCCAGCTACCTGATTGCAAATAACATTTCTAGTTGTGTTTACTGTGTACTACATCCATGCGCCTCGTAACGTCATGGTGATTTTAAAGTGACATATCAACCCTCGTCATTTGTGCTTCGCTAATAATCCGTTCCCACTGTACGTGGAATCTGCTAATTTTTCATTCTTAGCGTGTCACCAACTGAAGCTCGAACCCCGCTTCTGATTCAGTAGAATGAATGTCTGTATATTAACTGTACTGGCAGAATAGATGCCAGAATAGGAGCTGGGTACTGAAAAAATGAAATATAGGTGTTACACTGATATAAAGTTTCATTCTCTGCCTGGAGACCAAGTATACATGTTTGTTTTTAGATGCCGTACATGGTTCACTAAATACAGTTTGTAGAAGCACTACGACCTAAACACTGGGAGTGCCATAGTGCCCTTCTAAATACGTAATCAAACTCGGTAATATTTGGCTTAATCTTGATAAGCTTTATCAGGCTGGAAATTTCGGGAGGTTATGAATCAATAGGATAAAATTCAAATATATAGTAGGGACGGCTTATGCTCTCCCATAGTAGAGTACCTAGTACTCTAAATCGTTACCCACTTTTTCGACCCCCCCCCCCCCCGGTCCCCCCATTCTGTTGTGCATCAACATGGCACTTCGTGTGTGGCATTGAGGCTCATGGGACGGCTTTAGGCTCTGGCATAGTAGAATACCAACTACTCTAAATCGTTACCCACTTTTCTACCCTCCTCATCAAGTACTCGTAAGAGGCCCATGGGACCATTTACTCTAAATCATTAACCACTTATACAAAATGTACCATGTTTTGAAGTACCAGCGCCATATCATGTGTGGTATGGCCATCAGCGTCCTAAAAGGACGCTTATTGCTCTCTCATAGCTTCTAAACGCTTATTGCTCTCATGCTTTCTAAACGCCGACAACCACCACGAGTCCCATGAAATAACAAGGTTGACGGGACCGGCTGCCTCACCATAGCACCTTCTCCATAGCACGCCCTATTAGTGACAGGGAAATGTTTTTATCATACTTTACGTCTAAACAGAAATTCGACGCTCCGTCGGTTTTGGTGATGTTCTCATATGACAGCCATGTTGAACTTATAAATGCAAATGAGTCATATGTTCGTATCATGGTTGCGCCGTTAGCAACAACATATTTTTTTTCATGATAAACGACTTGGGGTGAACATGCGCGTGCCTTTCAACAACAACGTTAAAGCATATGCTACATTGTGCACCACTCATGGCTTCCTGGCTCGTCTTTATTTCTGCCAGGCTTCGTGTGTTTTCTATGCAAACTTTTCACGAGCTTGAGGTTGTTCCCCGCCACGTCCAACAAAGGTAGAACTAACCATAGAAAGCTTCCTAGTTTGACTGGAGCCAATAAAGTTGAATTGATTTCAACTTTATTGAGAAGTCTTGGGCAACCTACCGCACTGTTTACAGGAATCTCTACGCAAGAGTTTTGTCGGAACTATATTTACTAATGGCCGAGGTTCTTTCTAAACGTACAGGGCAGACGTCATTACCGTGTTACTGGAATCGCTACACATTTAAGGTCAGCCTGCAGTAAAGAAAGTACCCGAATGTTTGGTCGCCTGTGCGCAAACAAAGAACAAGGCAACGATTTAGCAAGGCTGAGTAGTGACAGGAAACTTAATTAGTAGGCTTTGAAACGAAATACTTGTCACAATCTGCGTGTAACTTTTAGTGGCTAAGCTTCTTAAGGCGTGGGCTGTGCGCCCCCTGTATGTAGCCACCTCTCGTCTAGTTCTTGCAGTGTTTACTACATGTCGGTACTTGTAGCTGATGATGAACGATGCGAGATGTTATATAGGAATGATGTCACATATGGAGCGTGTCATTGGTGGAAGGCAATCGTTCGAATTAGTGCGGCGACGTACGCTAGGGGGAGCGTTCTAATAAAATCGAGTGGGCAAAATGTACGGAGGAATCATGGTTTACCAGGTTTACCTCCGGAGCTTCGCCCACTCATCATAATTCACTTGGTGGATATGGCGGCACTTTTTTAGATGCGCAGCAGCTTATGGAGAAGTTAGATCCGGTGGGCGTAACCATCTTTACTGCCCGCATGAGCAACCGCTGGCACAAGCACTGCCACAACGCGCTCACGCGCTTGCATAAATATGAGTTTAAATCACATAACTTGGAATTCCCGTAGGATACACAAAAGGGGTCGTGTTTTTCGTTAAACTATCCGGTAGCGAAGGCTTTCGTTCGCTGATATATATCAAACTTGTGCTTCAGTTCAGGCCACGTGACGGGCACCCACTGACGAAGTAAAACCGGTTTCTCCACGAAAACTGTCCCCTTTTCGCGGAGGTGGAAGAATCAACTTTATTTATCATAGATAGAAGCAAGGCTTAACTAATGCGTAACGTGATCTCCAGCACACGCACTATTTATAGAA